ACCTTTATGCTCCTAGATCACAATAAATTATCATTCTATTGCATATCATAAATATGAATCCTACCTCATCTTTAACAAAAAAAACCCGACACCTTTGATGAATCATGTCGCATAAAGACCGGAATGAAGCGCGAGATCTAGTCACCTTCAATAATTTTCAATAACTTTAATATGAACGATATCGCGCATCTCAGCAAAATCATCTCTCCCCGAGACCTAAGACCACCCGAAAAGAGATCAGATCGATGCAGAAAACTTTCCCCGGTCGGCTCGTGCACCGATCCTTGACCATGACCGCATTTGCCATGGCCCCCGTGCCCTGAACAAGGGTCACCCTATGCACACGCGTCTGCAACAGCCGGTTGTCTCCCTGCTATCAGGAGGAAGGTGACTTCCAGAGCGGATATTCGGCGAAGGTGGGAAGAGAGACGAACACGCGAATTGTACTCGAGAGTCAAGGCTCCGGCCCAATTTGGGTTCGTAGACCCGGAGGATAGGTCGCACATATACATACTTCACACACATGTGCCGCCTGCGCGCCCTGTCTCTTTTTTCATGTTTCGCCTTCGTAAGGTCATTTACTTTTACCAGCAGCCTTCCTCAAGGTTCGGCGGCTCGCTCCTCTCGTCCTTATGTCTTCGAGGATCGAGCAGGTGCGTGGCACACGTCTGTATGTATGCGTACGCATGTGTGCTCCATTTCTCGAAAGCTTCTCGCAAAAACGATCAATCCTTTCTGATCAAATTGAATTCTTCCTTAATATTATTTTTTGTCAAAATAATGGCTACAAAATTTCCCTAAATAAATCGTTTGTATTTATCTGTTTTTATATTTGACGAGTATGAAATTAGAATGTTGATTCGTTAAAGAGGTCGTTCAATATTACAGAAATTTTATCGAGATATTAAAAAAAGATTCGATGATATATGTCAGCTACACGCCCGTTTCAAAAATAAGCAAAACATTGATGATCGCGCCTCGTGGTCGAAAAATAATCATTCCATGACGAAGTCGCAACGCGAAAATTATTTTCGACCATGTCGCGTGTACTGTTACGATCGTGAAGAAAACGTAAACACAGACACATCTCCGAAGGCCAAATGCGCGATCAATGAGATGGTACGGAAATAACGAAGATTAATTATACCGTTACAGCATTCTTTCGTAAAGAAAAAAAAAGACATTTTTATTAATAATATTCAAATTTTAGCTTAAAATAGTGATGTAAAAACAATGATATAAAAGATAAAAATCTCAATATCATTCAACAAGTTTCATTTTTGTAAAGATTATTATTATGATGCGAAAAAAAAAATACATATTCTATAATCCCGAGATAATGACATACATTTATGTTATATTTTTTTATGTTTCAATCCTATTATAATAAATACTAAAAGTTATCTTCCCAGCTTAGTTTCCCATATTTTACCACCAAACAATAATTTATCATTGAAGAAACACGTGGGTGCGACGTAAACTTTTCACGTATGCAAGCGTGTGCCATGAATATAAATATGATGCGTAGTTCTAATTTGACTTCTCGCGAAGGTAAACACGAGGCAATCCACGTGGTGCCGCTTTCAGGGACGTGGCACAACGATTTGTTTCCACGTGTACGAGAAAATATACTTCGCGATCGACGAGCACTGTCATTAACTATCAACACATTATCCGCGCTATCCGATGAGCGCGCGAAACGCGGAATAGGATTTGCGCGCGATCAAACTCAATGACGGTTAAACATTCATATGGCGTCGAGCCTTTCAGGGTCGTATGATACGTGCATTTCGCTGCCAAGGTATATAAAGACGAAAATACGACGCGGCCGAGCACCGAGTTATCTCCCCGATTACGAGTGCTAATTCTTTTTTCCGGAAGAATAAAACACAAATCTTACGAGAAAAAAAAGACATATGAAACGATTTTGACATAACTTGATTGATGAAAAAAGAGAATTTTGAAAATTAAATTTCTAAAGCAATTCTACGGAAAAGTTTTCAAGCAAACTTTTTAACCAAATATTTAAATCCGAATTTTGAAGAAGGAAACAAAATATATACATGCATTTCTCTCTGAATCAAATTTTTCCAAAATGTTAGAAAAGCTGTATATTTTAACTTTTCAATCAATTTTTTTCTCTTCAATGCGAGCATTTTCTCTCGACGTGTCGTTCTTTGTTTTTTTTTCTCTTTTATATTTCGAGATATAATTTTTAATTTACGCAGACGACGATCACCGATGTTTGATCTTTCGGAATCGACCGTGACGGTAGAGTCCACGTGGCCTCAAGGCCTCTTACGCATATACGGGGCCCTTATGGTTCGCGCCATGGCAATATTTATCGAACATATACCGGCTGAATGTACAGCAGACAGTTTTGGCCCTTGGACCTGGGCGCCACGAAGGTCGCCACGTAACCGCTTAATGAGGAGAGCGAGAAAGCAAGGACTGGGAGAGTAAAATATACTAGAATTTATATGACATCGTGCCGCGTTAATGTGTCTACAAAAATGTCCATATTGAATATAACTCCCTAATCTTTAATTTTTTTCCAATAACAATTTTAATCTTATTCAAGTTATGTTCAATATAAATAAAACATTTTTCCTTCCACAAAATAATGATAATAATTGTGATGATCTTCCTCCAAATCGAGGCGAGAATTATTTATATTTCTTACAATCCACGATAATCTTTCAGTAAAAAAAATTTCTTTTAATTTTCAATTCATGTCAACAAAATCGCAATTTTTTTAATTGTTATAAAAAAGACGAATCTTTTTTGAAGGTATCAAATGTATAAATAAAAAAGGAAGACTAAAAACGAAATGTTGAATCGAGATAGAAAAAGACGCACGTGTGGGCAAATTTACTACAAATATTTTAAGTATATTAGAGATCTACGAGAGTTTTCTCTGCGTTTGAGCCAACAGAGCCGCAGAGACTACAAACAAATCGGAAAGGAGCGGGAGAACCGCTCGAGGGCCGAAGATTGGCCTAGGCTGAAAATACTTGTATAAAATATAGTCGAATCTCTCTCGAGAGCAAATCATGCGAGCGAATGCGGGAATCTATTCGAACGTAAATTTACAGTTATCACGTTTTTTTCGCGTGCTCTTACATCGCAAATATATATTTATTAATTATTTATTTAACTCTATTTTATTAACAACTTTCTCAAATGCGAGCAAACACCCGGTATATATAATTCCACAATATTAATTATTCCAAATTGATCTTTAATCGTCTCTTGAAAAAACCTTGATCGCGAATGAGTAAAATCACCATTAAATTCTCTTCGATGCAAAACGTCAAATCGCGAAAGGTCATTCTTGTTTTGAAAATATATTTAGTTTTAACATGGAAATTTTGAAATGCGATTATATTACGTTAATTAAAGAAAAATATAATTGCTTGCTTAAATAAAGTCATTTTATATAGTTCAATCAAGAAAAATATATTTTTACGATTTAAGATTTAATTTTCTTGAATGGAAAAGAAACAATATTAGATGGAAACTAACATTTTTAAATCAAAGATTATAATCTTCTTAAAGTAGAATTAAATAATTATATATTCTTGACAATTACAATATTAAAATAAGACTATAATATTGTTGAAATTTAAAATTATTAAATTCTTCTAAGAAGATTATAAATTATTGCGTATGTACGAAACAATAAACGCGTTAGTTTAAGTATATAAGTTTTGATTTGACGCTTACTTTTTTCTGTGTATGGGCAAACATACATTGAAGGGTGTTACTCCCGGCGATCTTTACGTAAATCAATACTTTGCATAATGCTCCCGCGATCACTTCCTCGATCATATGATCGATTACCGCCGGGCACGAGAAAGCCGTTCATTTTCCCGACACGTCGCGAGCTCGACGCTTGATTTTCTCGCTCGGCGAAAAGGTTAGGTTGTCTATTAACTTGACACGCGCGCTGCCCCGGCCATTCGATCGCGGAGGCTGCTGTATCAAATCCCTCCTTTGCTATTTCGCTGCGTGTCTGCGGGTCCCACGCACGCGACGACTGTAACGCGCGTGGGCGAAGAAGACGCTTCGTCGCTTGCACGCGCTTTTAACTGTCACGGCCGCACTCGGCTTAACCTTTTACCCGAAGATTCGAGTCCGAGATTAAGAGGATTGCTGCCGCAATCTTATCAATCTTATCAAATCCGGAAAGATCATCGTTCCAGAAAAGCACGAAGAAGGAAAAGAGAGAATAGACGTACATTATATTCCCAATCTTTCCTCGAATTAAGTAAATATATTGTTTTTTTAGAAAATGTGAAACTAAAAATTACATTGTTAGAAAATTAAAAAAAAATAAACATAATAAAATAAAAAATACAATATAAAAAATGTCACTATTAACTTTTTTTATCAATGATATATTCTTGAATATATGTATTATTTTTCTGAAAATAATAATTCTTGTCACACACACACACACACACACACATAAATATTTGGAGATTTTTAAATTCAAAGACTTTCTCCGGGCTAAAATCGGAGGATTGATAAATCTATTGACAATTGACAACCCTAATCGAATTTTTTCTAAAGTACTAGTCGATAATTATCCTTTAATTGTTTGAGGAAAGTATATCGGTTTTTTTATTTATATAATTATTAAGTTTTAATTACTTTTATAATTATTAATTATTCTATTTAAAGTTTTGTTTAATATATATCGAATCAATTTTTGACTTATATAGTTTTTTCCTCGGTTTTCTCTTTTATTATTTTTCCTATCATAAAAAAAAGAACAAATAAAATTAAACTCTGCTGGGGAAAAAACTGAGAAAAAAACAATACTTTTTTAAAACAATTATTCAAATTGTCTCGACAGTCTTTTTATTGAAAAATCGGCTGCAAAGCCTCGTCGAGAGATCTGTCATCGAAAATCAAAATTCCGAAATTGTGAAACAAAAGTCTACGTTAACAAAAAAAAAATTGATACAAAATCGCTGAAAAAAGCTGCCGCTTACCTCCGTTCTGTTCCGCGGAGCTCCAAAGAAAGGAAGGAAGGAAGGAAGCCAAGCACACGCAATCGTCTCCGAGGTCTGTTTCGCACACTTGATTTCTTCCGCACTGGCACTGTATTCACCGAGCAAGTTCCCTCGCTAATTTTTCCAGCCTCGCGATAATTTTCCTTTTTCGAGGAAATGAGAAGGAAAGAGAAGAGAAGGCGTGTCGATCCCCGCGATTATTTATCGGAACGAATTGCGACAGCCCACGCGACTTGTGTACGCGCGTGCACGACGCACGCACGCGACCGCGCGTCCACCCACGCACACGTACGCGTCTCGGGAAATTTCCCTTTTTTTTTCACGAAAGGAAAGCGACTAGACGCCGAGATGAATATCGCTCGCGGATAATCAGTCGAGAAGATTACGAGTGAACCGGAAAAATTCTGCGTCTCTCGAAATCACTCGTGCTTGAAGACGATACACCAAGTTATGAAAAATCCATAAATCATCGACGATTAAGGTTTATTTCGAAAGCTCGAACTTCGAAAGCGTATTTAAAAAGACAGTTCCGAAAAAAAGAAACTTCTTTCTCACTTTCTTCTCGCAACTTTCTTCGTCTCGTAATACCTAGTCCCAGGAAGTTTAGCGATCGCGATTAAAATCCTTCAGCGAATCAAAACCACTGTTTCATTCTGTACATCACGAGCCACACGTAATAATAAAATCAAACGACGCTGCAAATTGTTCCGCACACTGAAGCTTGATCCAACACGCACAAACCCAAATAAACAATTGCTCCGTTTTTGTTTACACGGGGCGCCTCGGGCGGGACGCGGCACGTCCTCTCGGGGAAGGCGTAAAAAAAAAAAATCTCTCGATCACCTCTGGTGGTTTTCCCGCGTTTATCGTTTTTCGCAAAAGGAGCAACGCAACCGCGATGACCTGTCACGCGAGACTGGACGCGCACGAGACGAGAAGAGACGAGACGAGACGAGAGGAGCTTCGACCGGGGAAGCGCGCGCGGAAACACTGAACGGGACGGAGCCTCGGTTTGCCTAGCCTAGCCACCACTAAACGCCACTATCCTAGGTTAGACACGCTCGCGACACACGCTGCCCCTCTCTCTTCCTCGCCCGTCCCCGTCCGCGCGGATTCCGCTTCTCTCTCTTTCTCTCTCTCTCTCTCTCTCTCGCTCGCTCGCTCGTTCGCTCGCTCGCTCGCTCGCACGCACGAGCCTCGCCGTCTCCGTTGCTACTGCGAGCCTCTCTCGCCTTCTCTCCCTCCCACCACTTCCCGCGTCCGTACCGTACTGCGCGCGCGATTCCGTCGACGGGAGGGGGAGGGAAGGGAGGGGGAATCGTAAGGCCATAGCCACGGCCATCGAGTCGCGTGCACGCACACTCGCGCGTGTTTACATGTGTGTATCGCGTGTATACACGCGTATTCCACACATCGCGAAATTGCGTCGAATCGACTCCTCCTACCATTTTCGTCCCATCAATTATCCGGCATCTTCGTTAATTTAACGCGAAATGCGGATTCGCGATTCTATTCTCGTGATCGCGGATTAAGTCGATTATGCGACGTATGTAGCGTGTGCTTATATTATGGAAAATCGAAAAAAACTGTCAACAGAAATGCGTGACGAAATTCCTGGAAGTGTTTGCTAAAAATTATTTTCAAATTTATCGAGAAAAGTACGATAATTGCCACGCGTTTCGCACAATCTTATCGCAATTTCGTAACTTTGTGTCACATAATAACACCGCGCGTACAGTTTTTAATCGTAATTTTAACGGGTCGCGGCAACAATGGGAGGTCGACGAAAGGACAGTGGCTCTCGATGCGATGCGTTTTTCCATCCTAAAAGCGTGCCAGGAAGACAATGCGAGGTACGTGCGCGCGTCGCGCATCTCGATGAACGTGTGTGCGTGTGCGTGTGTCACGTGTGTATGTAAAACGTGTTCTATATTCCGACGACGATCCGATAACGTGCACGCGACACACGCGTACCTACGCACAACGTGACGGAGTCGACGTATACGACTAGGCGTGATATAAAAGGACGCGTCCATCCCCCTCCCCCTCCTCCAACACGTGTTTTCGCCATTTAAATGGTAGCTTTTATAATGGTGACTTTCGACCCGAATACACGATGATAATTACGGACGAGTCGCGAATCTGAGATTGTTTCGTTTGCTTCGAAAGTAGCGTAAATCAAGTCTGAGATACGTCGACCATATGTGTGTGTGTGTGTGTGTGTGTGTGTGTGTGTGTGTGTGTGTGTGTGTGTGTGTTCCAGATTTATCGAAATATTTTACAGAGAAATTTTTTCCTTTCCAAGGTTGATTAATTTCTTGTCAGTGTATTTATAACGGTTTCAAGTTTATAAAAATTTTGCGCCTTTTTGCAGTAAATATAATAGATAGTTATATTTATTTTAGAATGAAAGATTTTTGCGGCATCGTTTATACTTTAATACATTTCATGGAAATTTCGAAATTTTTAAGTTTTTTTGCATATTATACTTTAGTCACGCACGGCATATTTTTCTAATTTTCTCGAGAAATATTTAACGAGGAGCGACAATAAGGAGCTTGACGCTCGTGATGGAATTAAATGGAAAATGCGTTTTCTCGCGTTAGCTACGCAGCGACGCTATCAACTCGTTATCACATATCGCTAATAATATGATGCGTCTGTGAACGTTAGATTAAAGAATAATTAATGATCGTTTGTAGTCACGCCAACGTGCATGACGTATGACGCGATTCACCGATTTTTACCGGACTTCTTGATGTCTAATGCATTTTGCATTAAGATCAGACTGACGTATAAAAGAAACGAAGCATTAAAATTTGCATATTGAATGTGAAAAAAGAACGTAATGAATATTTACACCGAGAAGGAAGAAGTCCATCTTTTTCGTAATAATACAGAACAAAAAGTAAAGAGAGACAATTCTTAAAAAAAAATCTATTTTAGAAAAATCAATCTAAATATATTAAATTGTTTGATGATTTTTTGTACATATTTTAGACTCTTTCTTCAACTTTAATCATTTTGTCAAAATTTAATGTAGAAAATGACTAGATAAAAATTTGATATTTAAAAAAAAATTCAAATTACAAAAGAACAAAAGACATATATAAACAAAAATATAAATATAATTTATAAAAGTATCCAACGTTCCATTGCCTATTACGTATCACTCATCACCGTCTAACGTTTGATATGCAGTAAACTCTCTCTGAACTCTTATCTGCATATATTAGCATATCATCATATGGCGAGGAGAGTATCTATATTTAAAAAAAGGTAAATAAATCAATGCCGATCGGCCAACTCCATTATCCACGTTACTCGGCAAAATCATTCTCTATAAATAATTCGTTACACGTGTTCAACGATATCTTGATACAAATTGCAATTCCTCCTTTTCTCTTTCTAAATCGTAAGATTAATCATCTACGAAGATCCAATGGCGTGCAATTTTTTCGAGAAGCCGAAAAACTAGTTTCGCGAGGGGGCGGAGGGATTTTAGGGCTATTGGGTAATCACCGAGCGATGATGACACTTTAATCCAAGATGGACGAGCTCCGTCTCGACGTTATTAAATACAACCACGCAGACGCAGGTGGCCGAAGTGATTGCTGTGGAGCGGATTCGCGAGACTTTCTAACGAAAGTGCAAGTGTTTTCTTTCTTTCTCAATCGACTGCCGCGTAACCGTTCTCGTCTCGCCGACTTTCGCACGTTTTCCGCGATTTCCCGCCGAGGTCGTCGAACGCTTCCTGCTTCGGCCGCGCTTCCATTTTCGCGATCGCACGCCAATTACTTAAAAATCGCGAATTTCTCGCAAACGAGAAAATGGATGTTGATATTTTAATTGTAATTTCCTGGCATGGATTTTGATATTTTAATTGTAATTTCCTGGAGCATGGATTTTGATATTTTAATTATAATTTTCCAAACTTGTTTAAACTACTTTCAAACTATTAAAATCTAAACTTCAAGTCCCTACGTGAAATGACTCGAAGCATAAATATAATTTTTACTACTTCGCGAGATATATAAAACTTTCGTCGAAAGCTTTTTATTTCCGATCATCAAATGTTGAAAGCTCCGAATTTCTGTGAAGAATTATAAAGTGCGAAAGTTTGGGGGACGCCCGAGTCGTGGGCGACAAAAAGGAACCTTCCCGAGATCCTTGCTTGTTCCGCGAGGACAAACCTCTTCCGCGAGAGGCGTCATCCAACTGATTTAGGAAGTCCCGGATCGACCTTCGGGGATCGAAATTTCTAAGATTTCCGAGCCAATACATCGATATCGAGAGCTGCCCGCGGCACCCAACCAAGGCTCGACCGGCTTCGCCGTGACATAAATATTTGGGGGGCCCGCTCTTTCGGTGGTCGAGAGAACTGAACTTGAGAGCGCGCGAGAGAAAGGGGAGCGAGACGGAGGAGAGATACCCGTAATCGTACCGTGGTCATGAGCGACCCTGAAGCGGCGAATTTGCCGATTCGACCGTCATCTTCGAGAGACGCTTCCTTTCGTCTATTTTTAAGAGCACCGCCGACTTTACGATAGCCCAACGCGATATAATCCGTCACTCTCGTCGATGACGTAATCAATCGACAGACGAGCACCAAGTGATGAAAATTTCAAGTTCGGCATCAGAAATTGAAAACACAATTCTCGGATTCAAAATAAATTAATTAGGCTTTGGAGATTTTATTTATCGATTTACATTTACCTGTTTATATTTGTCGATGTTTACAAGATTCATATATATTTTCGTGATTCAAATTATTATAATTTACGCAGATTTTATTTATTGTATATATCATCACAAAAAATTATATTCTGTTTTATTAATTTTATTATAATTTATTTAATCTTCAACGAAATTTAATCTATTAAATAAATTTGAAAAATTGATCAAGACATGCATTCTATATATGGATATGGATATTGAAAAGGTTGAGAGAAAGTTTTACTCCATCTCGGGACAAATGTCGTGTTCATTCGTTACTAATCATTATACCATGTATTATTTATAAATACTAAAATTTGAATTAATGTGGATATAAAACTCGTTAACGATCCCGAAGAGAACGAATGTAATAACGCAACTTTATATTCGTCCGCGTATACATGTTCTAATTATATCTTGGTAATGAAAACTCGGAAAATGAGCTTCAGTAAATTCGCTTGTTATACGAGATTTGCTGTTCAACACCACTTCTCTATAAAAAAATAATATTTTTTTTTATCCGTGAAGATGCATGCAATTTAATCCCGTCGCTAAATTGGCGATTTGTAAATTATGTGTGTATGTGTGTGTTTGCTTACTTTAATGTAAAGTATCTCGTTGTCCTTCAGAGACAATATTTTATGCATATCCGATAAAACTTTGTTAAAAACACAGTTGTAAAGTCCAATAAAATTTATCATAAAACTTGACATTTGGGTGAATCTTTTCATAATATTAATAAAATCTCAAAATTAAATTAATTTGAGGCAATTATTTACTATATTATTGAATATATCGACAATTAAATAGACAATCTTAAATTTACATTTATAATTACAAGAAATGATCTATAATTATTTACAAAATGATCCATCTAAAAAGATATATAGAAAATAATTCTTGTATATAATTAATCTTAGAAAAAAGGTCCTTAAAATTCGACCTACTGACCACTTTCAAAATTGGCTGCGAGATGCCAAGATTTATGATAACCGAGTGACAAAATTTTTTATTGTACTCCCTATCGATCTCTCTCATCGCTCCGCACGATGTAACATTCGGACTCGAATAAAGAATTGCGCGACCTGATAATTTACGTAGTTTACGCTTGTGGTAAACCCACGACACACAGCCAAATCGCACGTACATGTACTTAAATACACACGAATGCACTCTGAAGCGTTTCATCGCGAGTGAGACCAACTTTCACTGCGGCCGCGGTCTCTCTCCTCTCTCTACCAACATAAGTCTGCCGCAAATTCGGTAACTTCCACGTTTCCTCATGTCCCTGTCCTCCTTGGATTCGACGATTATTTATATGTATCGTGTCAACGCGGCAGGAGAAAAATAAATGTTACTTGAATAGTTGAACGAAACATAATATCGCATTAAATTTTCATATTTTCGTTTTCGATTTAGAAATCAAGA